ACCTACCACGTATCCGTATCATACTAGGCTGTTCTAGTTTAGCAAAAATGGTCCCTAGTTGCTTCTCTATTAAGATGCGGTCTATCTCACTCTAGTTTTGACACGCGCTGATATACATATATGTACAAAATATACATACATCTGCTGCGGATGTAAGCCTCAACCTCTCAGTGATGATTTCCTTGCATGGTCCACCTTCAAAGCCAGTGGATAACAAAATTGGGGTAGCGTCGCCACCGTCTATGCTAGCCTGTGTTTTTGGGTCATTTGCTTTCCGGGTGGATGGGGGGTTGGGTGATCCTAACCCATGCATGCAAGAAGCACTTGACAGTGCGTGATTTCGTTTCTATCTTAAAACCTACACCCTATATCCTAAACCCTATGTCCTAAACCCTGAATCGTATATCCGAAATCATAACCCTATAACCCCTTTCGCACATTACGTGTCCTCCGCTCGTGGGTTTTGTAGATTTATGACCTCGAAAAATGTGGTCTTCGTGGGGTTTGGGTAAGTGCTCAGGCACTTTTCCTTTGTACCCTTAGGGTTTGTGTCTTTCGGTTTGGATGCTTACACAGTCCCTAAATGAGGGTCTTGGTGCCCAAAAAGCCAAGGTTACAAACATCAAGGGTACAAATTACAGACCATCTTTTAGCAGTTTCCCTAAATAGGGACCCAATGTAGACACCCAAATACTACAGTCCTTATTCTGGGACCCTTCAGAAAGGTACCCCTAATTTTGCGAAACCCTAACCCTGTAAGATCCCTAAATACCTCTATGAAATATCCTCTATAACCATCAAAAGCTTAAAAATGCTTTGAGCAGCAGCGGAGCAATGTTCCCTTGGCAGGCCGAGACGGTCCAACAAGTACGGCACCTCGGATGGGAACGCAAATAAAACATCAGCTAGGGTCTACACGCCTTAAAGGGGGGAAAAAGGGGATGGTATAGGCAACTATTAAGGGTTATTAAGAGTGATACTAGGAGTTTAGACTGTGGCCCATATGCAGGCATGTAGAAGCGGAATATTTACCAATATTGTGGTCCTAGACTCATTGCAGAAGTATTGTACAGGGTACTTCAAATACACTTCAAAATAACATCCCTAGATTACTTTGTCAGACTAAGCTTTAAGTTTAGGGCTTAGGCCATAGGATATACCTTTACGGACCCTTGAAATGCTGAAGCAATTCCAGCGGTCCCTCATAGGGACCCGCCATGCTTGAGAAGCTTTAAACTCGTTTTGGCACAACTTCAGTCCACTAATAGGCCTTGGCACTGTAGGGGTCTATTACTTTTGATACTATATTAGTATTATTGTTAGTATTCTTATGTATATTACTAGTACTAGTATTCGTATATTCAGCATGGTTGCGTGACGGTATTATAAGGGCTCCAGAAAGCGCAGAGCAAGTTATTATTCATAGGCTTCAGGGGTGCTGCCATGGATCAACAGAAGGATTTGAAGCCCTCTGTCTGTGCGTCGAAACACGTATAAGCTTACATGGGAACCCCTCTTGTAATGTCCCGAAGCATATCCCATACCGGTACCCTACAGTCTAGCCCCTACCCCTACCTGAACCCTTTGGGAACCCTGGAGCCTAAGCGCGACCATGAGTCACTGCCCAGGTCTGCGTACATGCAATTCCCAGATGGGAAACTGCAGGCCTTCACAAGGGTAGGTTTGCATATATGTATATATATATATATTTTTTCTTTATTTATTTATGCGGTTAATCCGTATATAACCCGTATAGAGCCATGCAGATTAAATTCTATAGGCCCCCAAAGCTACCCTAGTTCATGGGTTAGGGTGCAGGGTTTAGGGTTTGGGTGTTTGGGTTTTAACATCTATTGCGTAGGGTTCAGGATTTAGGGGTTTCACTTCTTGCGGACATTACGGTTCTAGATTCCCTGCATGACTACTGAGTGTGGTAGAGGGTACTTGCCTCAAATAGACCTCAAAATCATATCGGTAATTATATCGGCCCCTTCTGTAAGGGATTTAAGGCTGGGTGTTTTGAGTTTAGAGGTGTGCAACTAATAGCTTTGCTTCATTTTCACGTACCAGAAGTCTAGATTCAGGTGCCCTGTAGAAGCGTCTGCTACTAGGTGGACACTGCATACACAAAGAACCCCCTCCTTACGAACTCCCCAGCGGAGGTTGTCCTTGATTTTGAGTTTTGGTCCCGGTTTACGCGTGTACGCCGCGCTAATTAATACGGTGTGTGCTAAAAAACTCCTGTTTGACCCTGGGTACTTGGTACCTTGGGCATTGTGAGACTTTCCTGCGCTACAGGACTTTCATTATCCACCGTAGTTAATGGGGAATGGGAATTGTCCAGTCTCTCTTAGGATTCCCACCCCAAACCCTCAACCCTATATTATCCTCATAGAACTGCTACATCCGCTTTCAAGGTACTCCTCAGTGGAAACCCCTATATGAGCTGTAGTCTAAACTCCTCAAGGGGGTTATATAGGGGATTATTAGGGAAGTACTGTAGGGGTTATTAAGGGGGACACTAGGAGTGAAGACTCTAGCTCATATGCCTTGGCTCTGCAAAGATCCCTCAGTTTCACCGGGGAAATTAGAAAGACCTCGCCCAAGTGGTAGGTTTATACAGATTGGCTGCTCTGAAGTCCTGAAATCACTATACTTCCTGGTGGTTAGTAGGAAGCAAGGGAATATACCCTCTATATAATCCCCGTATGTCGTAATTATTCCCTTTTTCCTACTAACCACCACTAAGATCAAATGGCCAGAGCTGACAGTCCCCCTTAAAAAGATAGAATATGGGACATAGGGGGATCTTATTATACTATAGCCAAAACCGTATTCTATCTACTTAAGGGGGATTACAAACACTAAACCCTAAACTGAAAAAAAATGTTTCCATTTTCTTTTCCATTATCCCAATATATCGCTGATATTCTATCTACTTAAGGGGGACTTTAGGCTCTAAAGCTGAAGCAACATCGAGCTCGGAGAGCCCGCAGCTACATACATGGTTTAGGGCTTAGGGTTGTGGATGGAGGAGACCTTGCACTACTGAAGATCCCCAAAGTGCTATGGTTATTGGGGTGTAGGAAATATCCGGTGGTGCAGGATTTCCTCCAGCCACACTTGGGCGTAGTTTGGATAAGCATAGAATAGGTAAGCTGAAGGTTGGGGTTGAAAGGGTTTTAGGGGTGTAGGCTGTGCGGATTAAAGATGCGGGATTATAGGGTTGAGGATTTAGGGTTAAGGGTTCTCGTTGGTTTGTGCCGGCTGCAATCTGAATGATCAGTGAACTTCCGTCTGTGAGCAGGGTTTCAAGGGAAATCCAAGCCCGCAACTATGCCAAAATCACAGTTCTCCGGCGTCAACACGTAATCTAAGGCTTCCACATTTTTAATAGGTCTAGGTGAATTACATCAAAGCGCAAACAATGAATCTGAAATCTTAAGCGCAAGCCCTGAACCGTTCCCACCCACGCCCAGACCAAACCCTACACCTCACCTGGGGACCGTTATGCAAGCTACTGTTAAAATTAGCTTTTTGGAGATAGGGGTCCTTTTCGTACTTCGGTGTAATTCCCAATGGATTCCTTGTGGAACCCGCGGAACCCATGTCCATTCATCTCAATGGAAATATTGATTGTAGCTCACGTAGAAGTCTGGATAGTTATTGGTACATGCCCCTATCTGTTTATACCCCTTATGATTAGATTATTGGTTTCCCGTAAGTCATGTCAACAAACCCTTATTCTGACCATTTATAACCCTCAAACTTCAACCGTGTCCTAGTCTAATCAGTTGGTTGTGTCCCAAAAAGGGAGATCCGAATATGAAGCCCAAAATACTAGAACTTCATTATAATAAGGCACCCAAAAACTGATCCCTCCTTGAAGGAAATTGCCATTTAGACCCATGCGACTTAGTAGCCAGGCTTGTGGTGTCGCTGTCGACGCTTCGGGGAAAGCCTTGGGCTTGTGCCTGGACCCGGTTCACTGGGTAGCTGTAAACGAGCTGAGGTCGGCTTACCATATTCACCTCCCTTCAGAGACTCTATAGGGGTCATATGGTTCTTAACCTGCACGGGCCGACCCAAATATCGACCCCAAAATTCTATAGTCAGGTCCTTAGTATGGGGATCCCCAGAAGGGTAGCCCTAATTTGGGGAAACCCCGATCTTGGTTTAGAGCGAAGTTGCCATAATGTGGTTCAAGAGTTGACCTTGTAGTTTCTTGGCTACCCAGCTCATGGTGTGACGCATTGAAGTTTTCCGCCTGTGTATTGCAACACTCCCAAATCGTCCAAGAGAATATTTCCAAGAGTAGGATGCAAAAATACTTCGAAATGCCCTGAGTTTGGAGAGCTCACGTAAGATTTTGGCTCGAGCGTGAAATTCCCAGCCTGGCACGGTGCCTCTGCCTATTCCTTCGTCCAGACTTGAGCAGTCGACTTTTCTGAGCTTCCTTGGTTTCTCGGGAGGATTAGGTTTCATCCTTTCTTTGGTTGTTGGAAGAGTAGTTGAGCACGCAATCAAGAAAGTGCATCAGTAAGGAAGTGAGATTGATGATCGCAACAGTGCCCCTTCGAGTCTGGAGCCTATGCTTTGTGACCGCGGCCAGTGCGTTGGACGGTTGCAACGTCGATGATCTTTCTCTGCTGCAGTACGACTCCACACGGAGGTCTCGTCATGTTCAGGAGGAACAGCAGAAAGTTCAACCATAGTAGAGAATAGTGCAGTGTGGTCGAGTGTCCCTCGTTAGAGACAGGGCGGTACGTAGCAGGGTGTAGAAGGGTTATACAGTACGAGCTCACCAAGCCAGACTTGATTCGTATAGCCTCACAAATCTTGGGTAATACCTTCATTGATTGTTGTTTTGCAGTCCCTACATCCCTTTTGAAACCGCGGCTCCTGGGCATTCCTGACCAAAACTGTAAGCATAGAAAGGCCACGTGTAAAAAGGATCCAGAAGTGCCACTAGTTAAGTGGCAAAATGCATAAAGGAGGGTATGGAGCTGGTGGTGCCTATTTACCAATGGCCCGCACCATTGGAGGGCTCCATGTACGAGCAGGTTGCAACATCATCTGTGCGCACGGTCACCGTGCTTAATCCAGGCAGGCTTTGTGGTGCAAGTAGGCTTGCCACCGAGATATGCAGGGTGTGTTCTGTTGGGTCTTGAAGGGGCTTTCAGGGAGGACATGTTGCGCAAGGGTCCCCCAAACTGTTGCAGGAAAATTCTCACCCTGTGCAGGAAACGGTCTGGCGAACCAGTGCCAGGGTTCTGTGCCAGCGAATCCAGTCTGGCAGCCTGTGGTGACATTGTATGACAGCAATCCGCCCGCAAGAACAATTGGCTATGTGTACAGTCAGTGGGGGAACCACTCCTTGTCCGTGGTCAAGCAGTCAATCGACAACTACTTTGCTTGTTTCAACGTGTCTGGAATTTTTGTGGATGAGACGGCTACAGACCCCAGCCAGTGCAATGGTCATGATGCCTATTACGACCAACTCTATGCCTACGTGAAGGGCAAGGATCCGAAGGCCGAGGCCGCGCGCAGCAATCGCCTGAAATTTACAAACGATGTGGTATGCAGTCTACTTATGTTAACTGTGTAATCATCCTAGACTACTCACTGTTTCGGGGGTTGTATTACCTGCTATATGCCAAATATTATGTGCCACGAACTGCCAAGACATTACAGTCCCCAGCCAGTTTACATGAGGTCATGTGCAACCCTGGCACGGGCTTTGACTACGCAGCCTGGAACCGCGTCTGTTCCGGAATTGCCTTTTTGTTGGGGCTTCGATTTAAGACCATCGCTGGAAGAGTTTCAGTCCTAATTAAGCCTTTAACTTTGTGTGAAATTATATGATATAGTACATTAGCTTCCATCTTCTTTTCCATTGTCCCAGCATTACCTCAATTTGTTATGATATGTTATAGAAACCTATATAATATAGTACTTTCCATTTGGTTGAGGAAGCACTGCTGCGACCGGGCCATGGTTGTGGAAGTGTCACTGAGCTCCTTTAACGATGGTTTCACTTCGGAAGCGAGCCCGTTCATGGGTGCCACGCCCTACCCACCTGGTTTTGCAGTGGTGCTTGTCTACGGCGTGCCCGGAATCACCGAGATGCAGCAGGCATTATGACAAAACATTCGGCTAGGGTTTGCTTTTATTCAGTACGTAACAGACGCTAGTCTAGTCCCTGTATTGAATCATATGAAGTATACAGTAGGGCCTTGATATATTGTAAGTACTCAGTTTTGGGGACCATAAATTGCAGCCCTACCATAAATACTACTCAACGATGCTCTTTTAGGGATACCTGTATGTGCGACAGGTGGTACGCCGGGCGGCATGTGCGAATTTCACGAACGCAGATGGGGTTTGGGTGCTCGAGGACTGCTGACCGCTGGGCAGCTCACTGTATTAAGTGTGTGCGTCATACAGCAAAAACACATGACTACAGCATACAGAAGTGTTTATACTATATAGCCTGCTCTCGTATACCTGGGTGTACACCGTAAAAGATGATGGTGCAGTACAGCATTCTCTAGCACAGTCTCACAGACGTCGTGGTATGTAAATTGCTGTAGTATCCCCTAATTGGATTTGGCTGGTGGAGGAGGGCGGCAATGGCGTATTACCGATGTACACAACGCTGCCGAGCTACTTCGCAGAGGAAGCAGAGTATGTAAAGTCCGCCATAGTGCCTGAATCTTGGGATAGAGAATGTTACGTAAGCGTTTTCAGTTTGGTATCAGGGATTAATGAGTATGTAGAGAATCTAGTGGACTCTACAATCCTCTGTTATGAAAGAGGGATTGCTCATCGGCAAGTATTCTTTGTTAGAGCTTGGGGAGTCTGATACGGAAACCTTTGAGCGAGTCGACATTGAAAGTCCCATTAAACAAGCACGGACCTTCTCGAAACAGTAGGACTCAAGTAAGGAGTGCCCACCGCCTCCCGCACCTCCAGTGTACACCCAAGCCCCAACTGGGGGGGCTTGCTGGTTCAATCCAAACGACAACAACTGCGAGATTTGCTGCTTGGTGGAGTTCAGGGTTTAGGGGGACAAAGTCGTCTTCGACGTAGTTTCTCTTGTACTGAGTCTTCGGAGTAGAGTAGCCCTTGCTGTAGCCGTAGAATAATAGTAGCAGTAGTAGTAGTAGTAGTAGTAGCAGCAGCAGCAGTAGCAGTAGCAGTAGCAGTAGCAGTAGCAGTAGCAGGAGCAGCAGCAGCAGCAGCAGCAGCAGGAGTAGTAGTAGTAGTAGTAGTAGTAGTAGTGGTAGTAGCAGTAGCAGTAGCAGCTGCCGTGCAGGTCCTCCGTACTTACAACCTACGTCATAATTCTGGCCCGAAAGCTCCCAGAATTCCAGTTACACTAGATGTACTTCGGTTATAAGTGCAGTTTAGTAAGTAGGGTATAAGTATACGGACCACAATGCATGTCTATCGCTGCAGAGTTTTGTAATGGCTTCCCGCTCAAAGTAACCCCTTTAATGCTCAGATTAATCGTATAAAATGAGCCCCTGCACTTCTGATCGTAATTATGTCCCCTATACACGCATATTTATGTAGATAGATATGTGTATATATATATATATGTTTGGGTATCTTACGGGGAAACTTGGATAGAGGGAGTGTGGGGTGTTTGATACTAGTGCGATTGGATTACTAGGGATATTTCCATTTTGCTAGAAGGCTTCCAGAAGACCACTTCAGTTAGTGCACGACTTCAAGAAATTTGTTGGACCCAACCTCAGAAAATGAATTGGTGCCATTCTGACACAGCCCTGCTGAAAAAACAAGGCGCCAACAATGAATATTGTCCGGATTATCCAAGGCCGGTAGTGAGTATTTAGATCATGGGGTGGGGTAGACGTTTATAGAAAGCCACGGGGAGGGACGACCACGCCCATCTCGGGTGTAGGGTTAATGGTTCAGGGAATGTGGCCTACACCTTAGCCTGTTTTTCCCCTTTAGAACCCTAAGCCCTAAACAGCATCAGGCTACCCTGGCTACTACCAGTGCTCATGGCAGGGTTGCTACAAGCATCAATGCTCGCCGCCTGGGGGAAGTGCGTGCACTAACCCTTGCTCCAGTTAGAGGTTAAGACCTTTAGAGATTGGGGAGTTCAAGATATACCTGAGATACGTCTCACTGCTCTCGCTGCGCCCGACGTCTGAAGCATCCGTGTTAATCATGTATATGAATGCCTGCAGCTTGTGTGTAGCTATGTATTTACAACCTTCTGTCATTCTTTCTGCGGACAAAGACTAAGCAACCAATAAAACACGAGAGATCCTTCGATTGATTGATCTATGAGAGAGGCTAGTTATGTTAGATTGTTCAGACAGGGTTAAGCTGAGCGGTGCCGAGGCCAAGGAGCCATTACGTGTCATTTAACTCCCCTGGCTGAGAAAAAGAGACCGCTGGAACAACAGAAGCATTGTGAGATGGACTAAACGTGCAGACGCTGCTCCCTGAGGCACTGTACCTTTCGCTAAGCCAGCCCACTTCAGGGCTTCAGGGTGGGCAACGGCCGAGTATGCTAGTGTAGTTGCATATCGCAACAAGCTGCAGTCCTTATCGCAGGGACTCCAAGTTACAAAGGGACTTCAAGTTTCCGAAACTCCCCGAGTGAAGTGAGGGTTTAGGGTTTAGTTGGGGCTCCCCCATGTCCGCCGAAGGGACTGGAATTTAGTAATGTTCACCATACCCCCCCTGATGTTTTTGGGCAGATTGGATTTTGCCATTACCCGGAGCTGGGGGGTGGAAATGCATTCTGGGAGTCGGATTTTGCAATTGACTCATGGAACCGTCCGTTACGGATGAGCGGACGCGCATGTTATGAGTGGTTTGCAGTATGCCTATCTCGTACTGAGTAGGAGGGGCCCCTAAACCCTAATCCCCCATCCCTAAACCCTAATCTTTGTTAAGCAAAACTCGGGATTGACTCTTGTCCTTCTAACAAGAGAGCCCAAGTGGTTTCAAACCGGAAGAACTAGGGTGTTTAGGGTTTACGGCTTTAAGTTTTGCTAATCAGATGATAACCCAAAGAACCCTAGCAGAAGCATAATGCACCACACCGTTGATATACCATGCGATGCTAAATGCGAATTTAGGCGCACGCTCCTCCCCCACCCCAGGCTAGTAAAGCCCCCCTCAAGTGTTCAGGACCCCTCCTCCCCGGACCGCTTTGCATGAAGTCCCAAACCCCTAATTTTTTCTTGTCGGCACTGAAAGGATCCAGCTCGGATTCCATGACACGCCAGGCAAAGGGGGGGACCCCTCCACAATGTTCCCTGTCCCCTAAAACTGTCAAGACTATGGCACCTAGATATAACGGGCCATATTGTTCTTGGGACCCTGCCTAAACGCAATCTGTTTCCGACAACCTACCGTGTATAAACCTTATAAGAGGCTTTATAGACTGGGGGACATACGTGACATTTGGAGTCCCAAGCACAACCTAGAAATTCCCAATAGCTCTTCGGGATCTCCCGATACTCCCCAAGCCTCTCAAAGGTCCCCAGTGGCTTTGAGTGGGATCGTGTGTCAAATTCGCGGTTTGAAGGTTTGGACTCGAAAGTTTAGGCTCATGTTTTACTAAAGACCAGTCACCACTACACCGGCTCCCTGTTCCTTCGTACTTCCACAAAAGGAACCTGCCATAGAGAATAATTGACCACGGCTCTAGGATGACACTTTTATATGCGTACATTCCTGTCCGTTAGTCCCTCAGGCTATCTGTCTGAAAGACTATGCATGCTATGTGCCTAGCCAGTACCAACAACACGCAACCCCAATGTCTGGAAATAGGTAGCCCCCAAACCGTGCGAAGCTGTCCCAACATCTTTAACCTTGGCATCAAGGCCCACCAGTCCCTAAATCCCAAAGCCGGGGGTTTAGGGCTTAGGCCCCGCAACAACCTCGAGCCTGAGAAAGTGAATCTCAACAACCTGGGACATCATGGCATGTTGAAATGTTGCCATGAGTCTCACCAATATAGTAGCTTCCATTTCTTTTCCATCATCCCTACATGACCCCAATATACTATAGTAGTTTCCATTTTGTTTTCCATCATACCTATATAGCCCCAATATACTGTAGCAGTTTCCATTTTCTTTTCTTTTCCATCATCCCTACATAACCCCAATATACTATAGTAGCTTCCATTTTCTTTTCCAGTCTAAACCCTAAACCCCAAACCCCAAACCCAATGCAGGTGATTGGGAGATACCATCCTTCTGCGTGTGCCTCTACAGCATGCTGAAGCTCACGTTTCAGCTTTTGCTTAGTAACTTAATAGAAGCCCCTCGGGGTTTAGGGTCTAGGGTCTGGGGCTTAGGGTTTAGGGTCCCATGAACCGGTAAGAATATTCAGTTGGTGGGAGAGTTCTAGGGCAGACCTGTCAACGCCAAATAGAGGCCCCTACTCTGTGATCTATGGCTTATTTTTGGTTATGAAAAAGCATCCCAAACTACTCAGTATTGTGCATAGTTGTTTTCGCAAGCCCATCACACCTTTTTGCTTGGGCGGTGTGTTTGGGAAAGTTTCGGCGTAGAACCCTATTTTCCCCCCTTTTTTTACTTGTTTGTTAGATAAAAGGATTTCACAATACCCACGACGTGATGTTTACTGGGGTCACATATGGAACCCTGTAGAAAATGAATGGTACGCGGCGAGTCTGCAGATGCTCGTCCTGCAACTGGAACTTTCCTTCTGATGAAGTCTACTTTCTGCTATCTATCATCCTGAGCACCAGTTGACACTACCTGGAGGTCAGGGTTTGTGATTCAATTTATCAGGCCTAGGATCTCCCAAGCTAGCATGGAACCCAAACAGTACCCTCTGAAAGGAGCCGCAGTCTTTGTAGGGCCCTAGTTGGGGTTTTATGTTAAGTTTGAGAGGATACTCCCTGAAGCCCTAAGCCTCGTAATCTCCACAAGCGTACAGGTGCACAAGACCTAATACGATACATATGGTTTACAGGACCGTGTGATCCTGAACGTTTCCTAAACTTACCGGTGGTTAGTGGGGGAGGGAATATATCATGTAGGAGCTAGTTAGGGAATATATGATTATATTACCTACAAAGCCCCGGTGAGTACATCTACAAGGTTTCTCCTCCCTTGCCGAAAAAGCCGAAACCACTCTTGGCCCGCAGATTCCTACAGGGGAGCGAGTGCTGGTATTGTAGCCTGTTTTAGCAGTACTAGAAGTCAGAGTCATCTCGATTTTGCATAGTAATATTCATCTAAACGCCTACCAGCGTATGGCACTTGAACCACTATAACCATCCTACCTTGTGCATTTGAATCCTGGCTCCTGTAGCTAGGGCCACTGAGAGCTTTACATGTTCTCAGGTGCATGAAGGCCAACGTAAAGAACGACGAATGTCACGTGGAGCCTCTTCAGCTGTTGTGAAGGGACGTTCGACTTCGCACGTAGTGGTACCAATATATTGGTTTGCAAACAGCTCAACACAGGCAAGGCACCTTGAATCGGAGGGCATCCGACGTCATGGATGTTCCTATACAGCAGGGCTAATACTTGCATGCATTGTGGACCTGGATTAGTTGTATATCAATTCTGTAACGGGGAACCTCGAATAGGCGCGAACATGATCTCGGTGATTGTTCAGGATAATCCCTGAACACCCCTGTACAAATCCAGTTTCCATGTCATTTTGCAATTGATTCACTGCTAGTTGTAGTCATTCCGGCCCTTGTTGTACTCATCATTTTTGATCTTGTTACATTCCCACTGCTACCCTGGCACCATCTTGTTGCCAGACTACCACTCTTGCCACAATTATTTCCACTAATACCACTACTAAAGCCCCCAATAGCACCCGCAAGCACCAAGCTGCTGCCGCCACTCCTCGTGCTGCTTATCCTGCTGCTACTGCAAATGCTACTGTTGCTGCTGCTACTGCTGCGACTACCACGATGACAACGACGATGCCGATACAACGGAGCCGCTGCTACCAACCAAAGCATTATGCCCTGGTATTACCACTGCAGCGTTTCTGCTGCTATTCGTGTCACTGCTATGTCTACCAATGACAACCATCCCAAGCATGTTTGTCAGTATGCCTGGATTGAAGGAGCGAATCGTCGTCGGTGCGGCAGCACGTGGCAAAGGGCTTGGTACCTAGGCTTAATCCTGATTGGTAGGGGTAAGTCCGAAAATAATCATTTTAACTTATCACCTTTTATCCCTCCATAGTCCCTATAAAGCCCTTAAAGCACATGCTTATAGAGCCCCCAAACCCACCCAAGTTAGGGAAGGCTTTCTGAACTTCAGACTTCCCACCACATTTGAGCACCTGCCATTTAGACCAGAGGTCTGGTTCGCTGTTCGTTTACGGCCCGGTGGGCGCTGGGACCCTGAACCCCAAACTGAGTATGATAGCTCAAAACCTGGGGCTTCTGAATTTCCCACCATGATGGGTCCAGTTTTGGGGTCAATGTGATTTTTCAAAGCAGCGTATCCCTAGGGAGCCTAAGATGATGTTGGGATGTAAGGAGATTGTAGGGGCGCCTTCAAGAATTACACCGATGCTCTTCTAAGAAACACCCATGTATCGGGAACGTTGATGTTGATGGTGGTCAGGTTTCGGGAGACCACGAAAAGATCAGTCACATGTGTTCAGGCACAGGGTGTCGGGCAAAAGTTCTACGCAAGCAGCCCTGCAAGGTATCGGATTGTGGTCTTTGCTCCTTCCTTTTGCCGTTTACTGCTGCTTCGTAAAGATCATGGTATATCGAAACGCAATCCCTCAATCATGCTCCCGCAGGCTTAACCACCCTAAATCATTAGCCAACAGCCCCCAAACTGAAAAGAACCTACGCCTGAACCCCACCCCTGAAACTCTAAACCCCACAGAAGCTTCTTTTTTGTCGGGAGTTTGCTGTTTTCTTTTCGCTATACTTTGTGTCATTCCTCCTTACATTATCGTACCTCAATAAGGCGCCATTATCACTCCTAGTCCCTAGTCCCCTGTGGTAACAGTTGCTGTAAGGGGGAACTGTCTAAGTTATAGCCCATGATCCGTGGGGTCTCGGAATGGCTTCATGAGCTCCAGGTTTGGAGGACGA